ACTGGACTCAGTCTGGTGGAGGCCATGGTAGTTGTGGTCCATTAGTCCTTTGGACTAATCTTTCCCTTGTATCTTTAGTTTTCTTCATTCTCCCCTGCTCCCGAAGGGGTGAGAGCAGTGGAGTATCTTAGATGGCCTCTCACAGGCTTTTAAGACCCCAGACACTACTCACCAAGGTAGAATGTAGAACATTTTCTTTATAAGCTGTGTTATGTCAATTGAGCTAGATGTTTCCCGAGACCATGGTCCCCACAGCCCTCAGCCCAGCAATTCGGTCCCTCAGGGAATCCGGATATGTCTATGAAGCTTCCATGACCTTGTCAAAGGCCCATGTTTTGCTGGCTTGGTTGAGCACCTACTATGCGGAAAACACTTCTGTGTCCTCTGGGAGAGACAAAGACGAGGGCAGCATGGCTCCTGATATCCACAAATCAGACAGCCACCCAGACAACTATGACAGGAGACAGAATCTTGTGTGTGTGATAAAGATGGTTCAAGGTATTATGGGAGTTAATAGACAGTGAGCACAGCTAGCTTGAGGCATCAGTAGAAGCTGCTGGAAGGAGGTATCAAGTATTTAGAGAAACAAATTTTAAATACTGACCAAATACAGGTAATATGTACTAATAAAAAAAACCTTGTTTGGTATAAGTAGAGGGTCAGCGAATATAAGGGAAACCCTCAATGAGATGGATTGACACAGTGGCCTCAACGATGGGCTCGAACATACCAATGATCATGAAGATGGCACGGGACTGCTCAGCATTTTGCTCTGTTGTGTATAAGGTCATCATGAGTTGGAGCTGACTTAACAGCAACGAACAACACTACCACCACTTAAAAAAAAATTTACATTTTGTCACAGACTTTAATCCCTTCATGCCCGGTGGTCCCCACAGCCAGCGACCATGAACTTTTTCAGCCTCTGCAGTTTATTGGGAAGATGCTGTACTACTGACAGTGCGTGTTGCTGTAAGACAGGGGCCTTTGTGACTGTTTGAAACCGAAGTCATGGGTGTGTGCTGCGAATTACTGTTTTTACAGGGTAGTGAATGAGGTGTCTGAATGTTTGGTAGGAAAAATAGAAAATTTGAAAATTTGCATTTGTTACACATATGTACCAATAGACCCCAGTGGGAACTCTGGGGTATAATTAGGGGTAGTTCATATGTACCACTGAACATTTAGGGTAGGCTTGTGGGAGGGGGCAAGAAAAAAATGTGGAGCCCTAGTGGCGCAATGATTAAGAGCTCTGCTGCTAACCAAAAGGTGGGCAGTATGAATCCACCAGCTGCTCCTTGGAAAGCCTATGGGGCAGTTTTACTCTGTCCTATAGGGTCGCTATGAGTTGGAATTGACTCAAGGGCAATGGTTTTTTTTTTTTTTTTTTGGTTTTTCTACCAAAAATTCAGGTACACTCCATGTTTCAGCATGCTTCCGTCAATGAAAACACACATTATCAACAAAAACTCCAAGCGGAAATAATTGGATCACCAAAGGGTTAAAGTACATAGATAGCTAGATAGATACACAGAGTTGAAGCTCTTTTCTTCTTCTCTGAGCCCTATTCCCCTCTCTCTCCCCAAAGGTGCCCTTATCATGAATTTAGAGCTTTTTCAGGAAGTGGCACCTTAGCCAGTCTTTGAAGGATGGATGTGATTTTCTCTAGGCAGAGATGGCGAGAGAAGGAAGGCATTCCAGGGAAGGGCACGCTCAGAGGAGGGGAAACAGGGCTGTGTTTGGGGACGTGCTGGTGGTTTGGTTTGTCTGAAGCACGAAGCATGTATATATAGGGCGGGGTGACCGGCTCTGCGGCTGTAAAGATGCCCTCCTCATGGGAAGCCTTGAGTGCCCCCGAACAAGACTGGTGGTTTTTATGGAGTGGGTGTTTCTGAACAGAGCAGGCTGCGGGGTGGCTAAGAGGGCCAAAGGCTGGAGGCTGAGAGGTTAAGTACGGGGCTATTTCCGAAGTTCAGAAAGGGGCAGCGGTTGGGGGGAAGGGGCGGGGAGTAAGAAGGCGTGGTTCTAGGTGATGACAGAGAATGGAAAGGAGAGCATGAGGGCCCCTGAACAGGAGTGTCAGGTGACCGGATGTGGGGGCAAGGAAAAAGGGAGGAAGATAACCGGGAAGCCAGGAGGATGGGATCCATTTACAAATGAGAGTATGAATGAGTGTACGTGCGTGCGTGAGTGCGTGCGTGCGTGCGTGTGTTTGTGTGTGTGTGTGTGTGTGTGTGTGTGTGTGTGTAAAGGAAATGAGAAGAAATGGAGCTCCATTTGGGACACCGGAATCAGAGGCCGCTGGAAGACCCCGAAGTAGTTGGAACTCATGTCGGGGACCGGGGAGGGATGTCAACGCTTGGCGGACGTCAGTGTGGACACGCGTCTGCTAAGAGGTCAGAACTGATTTCTGAGAGGGGCGGGGATGTTTACAAACAAGGCAAAAGATGTCGGCCGACACACCCCTCGACCGCCAGCACCGAAGGGTCACAGAGCCCAGAAAGGTACGAAGGAGTGGGCCGAGGCCTCGAGGGACCCCAGCACCGAGGAGCGGACGGGGGTGGAAGGGCAGTGCTCAGTCCCCGGCCGGCGAGAAGCCCTCTCGAGAGCGGGCCCCGAGCGCCTCCTGCCCGTGTGCTCCAGGGTGGAATTTTAAAGGCGGCGCCTCCACTGGCCACTGCGCCGAGCAGCAGGCTAAAGGGATCCAGGGGCCAGTGACACGGGTCCAGGTTAGAGAGGGCTGGGGCGCCGGGGCGGTGGCTCTGTACCCACACGCCTCGAGCGCCGCCCCCGGGTCGCACATCCCAGCTGCTCCCTCTCCCCGGGCGGCGATTGGTGGATGCGCCCTTCGGTTTCTAGAACAGTAGCCTATGGCCGCCACTGGCTCCTCCCCGCGCCTTCAGCCCCGCCCCTTCACCTGCCCGGGCCTGGAGGGAGGCGGGGCTGGCTGCATCTCCCAGGCAACGGCGGACGCGGCGGTGCGGGCTGCGGCTTCGCCGGGAATAGAGACACAGCGGCTGCGGCGGCGGCGGCGGAGACCCAGGCTGGGACGAGGCCATGTCGGATCTGGGCTCGGAGGAGTTGGAGGAGGAGGGAGAGAATGATATTGGGGTGAGAGCTCCTGGGGACGGAGGGGTTGTCCGGAGGCCGGTTCCGAGAGTGGAGAGGGTGGAGACCAGGGGACGGGAACCACAATCCCCAGGCAGCCCGGCCAGGGACAAGGACCACGCCGGCCACACCGGGCACTGCGTCTTGGAAGTGGTTGTGAAAGATGAAACGTTATGACCTCCAGTTGCCACATCCCTTCCTCCCGCTCGCCCAGTCCTCTTCCTCTATGAAAGACAAAGTTTCCAGGTCAAAGGCTTGGGAAGCTGCCCCTCCCCCCGTCAGCCCCCCAAGGAGGCAGTTTCCTTGGGTGTCCGGAGTCCCCAAGTTCCAGCTGTCACACCATCCTTGAATCAGTCATTTCTGTATGTGAGCTTGACACCCTAGGGCTAAGAGGATGAAGGAACTCTGCTGCTTGGCAGCCTCCAGAAAGTGCTGAGAGGACCTGGGCTCCAAGATGTTACTGAGATATTGTTAGGTGCTGTCAAATCGGTTCTGACTCACAACGACCTGATGTATAACAGAACGAAACGTTGCTGCGTCCTAGCCATCCTTACAATCGTTGCTATATTTGAGCCCATTGTTGCAGCCACTGGGTCAATCCATATTGTTGAGGGTCTCCCTCTTTTTCACTGACCCTCTGTTTTACCAAGCATGATATTCTTCTCCAGGGACCGGTCCCTCCTGATAACATGTCCAAATTAAATGAGACAAGTCTCGCCATCCTTGCTTCTAAGGAGCATATTAGTACCTGAGATATTACTATGTAGACCTAGAATCCCATGTGCTTTCTTTAGTCCAGTCTGAACTGACTGAGTTATTGGAATTGTTCCTTGATTTTAGGCATTAGGGAAACAGACCATTCTCTGAGCGAAGGGAAGAGCTTCCTGCCTCCTTGCTTCTTCTCTGGCTTGCTTGAGTTTGTTTTTAAATTGTGATAAATATATATGTAACAAAACATTTGCCGTTTCAACATTCTTCCCATGTCCAATTCAATGGCATTAATTGTGTTCATCGTGTTGTGCAACCATCACTGTTACCTGTTTGCAAAGTTTTTCATTACCCTTAACGGAAGCTCAGTGTCCCGGAAGCAGTGAGTTCTCCTTCCCCCTCCTGCCTGCCCACTCCTGGTAACCACTAAGGAACAAGGGTCTGTATTCACTTGCCTATTCTAGATATTTCATAGAAGTGGAATTATACAATATTTGTCCTTTTGTGACTGATGTACTTTTTGACTTATCACTCGAGTATTTTAAACTAATCTTTGTAGGAGGGGAGGCGCCCCCTATTCCTTCTGCTTTTCAGCGGAGGCCGGGCGTGGGGTTTGAACATCCGCTGCATGAATGCAGCTAGCTCACTGTGTATACACACGTTTTGGGGAATCTGAATGGCACAAACGGTTAAGTGCTCAGCTACTAGCCAAAAGATTGGCCGTTCCACGCCATGCAGAGGTGCCTCAGAAGACAGGACTGCGATCTACTTCTGGAAGGTCACATCCTTGAAAACCCTATGGAGCAATTTACTCTGCACATAGGGGGTTGCCATGAGTCAGAATCGACTTGACGACAAATAACAACTTTTTGGTCCCTGTGGTTGGTAGTGCGCCTGATCCAGAGTCAGCTGTCTGGAGCTTTCAGTCAAGCAAGGAGACTGAACGTGGACCCACACAAGAGGGCAAGGCTTATGACCAAGGGTGACCCAAGAAAGTGAAGGGCATCTTACAATGATCAAGTACTCTGTCTTCACGTGGATGGCTTTTGCTTCGCCCTGTAGACTGATAGGAAACCCTGGTGGCATAGTGGTTAAGAGCTACAGCTGCTAACCAAAAGGTGGGCAGTTCAAATCCAACAGGTGCTTCTTGGAAACTCTATAGGGCAGTTCTACTCTGTCCTTTAGGGTTGGAATTGACTTGACGACAATGTTTTTTTTTTTTTTTTTTTTCACATGGGTAGACTGATAACTCCCTCATCTTTATATCCAGACCAGCTCTCTCTCCTGAAATCCAGACCCATATGACTGCTCCAGACACTGCCACTCGGGTGTTGTTGGATTGTTGAGACTTTGTGATGGCTTCTCATGGCCCAGTAACTACCCTCCTTCCTAATAACATATCTTAGAGGGAACTACCCTGGCTTTCTCCTCCAGCTTCATTTTATTGGTCCTGTCCTTGAAGCAGCTTCAGCCACTTCCTTCACTCTGTGTGCTCTGCTCCTCCTTCACCATTCCGCTCTCCTGGGAAGCCTGCTCTATCTCACCACTGCCTCTCCGCATCCCCACAGAACCTCCTGCAGACCTCCCTGTCTCACAGGTCACATGGCTGCAGCTGTCCTCTCTCTGTGCTCCCTACCGCTCTGGAACCACCTGGAGGACAGAGACCTCGTCTTTCTCCTGCCATGTGCTGAGAGCATGTCGCCTGGGTGGTGGAGCCTCTGAAGCACTCACACGTGCTTAGTCACCCAGCCAAGGATGCAGGTGTGAGGTATACTAGCGAGATCATGCAACCACAAGCCATCTGACTTCCAGCCTCAGCTTGTCACAGCCAGCTGGGTAGCTTGCTGTCCTTGGGATGGCGGGATTGTACGTAAGAGAAGCCTACTGAGGCCAACTTAAAGAAGGGTTTTTTACTAAAATGGTGCAGAGAAACTAGAGGGCATGCAAAGAAAAACCTGAATATCCAGGACAGCTCTGGAGGCTTCTGCCGCTAGGGTTTGGGGGTCTTTCTTCCTAAAGCTGTATGGCTTCCACATTCATTAGTGTGATTAAGAACTACCTGAAATGCTTATTAACCAGCGGGAGTGGAAGCCTTGGAATCTTCATAGAAACCACAAGCCTGGGGAACACACACACACACACACACACACGCACATACACATATACACATGCAGGTGCACAGTGTCCTAGAGCCTAGCCAGTAATGCGTCCCATCTCTATAAATCTCAGTGTAACGACTGGGCATTGCTTAAACATTGGTGACCCAGTTGATTGGCTTTTCTGGGTGAAGAGTCCATCTCTAGACAGTCAGCCACATGCTCTAAGAGTTCGTAGACAAGTGATATATCAGACAGAGCTGGACCACAGCAGGGCCTTGAAAAATGAGTGGACTCCAGGTCACACAGTGGAATGTGCCTGTGTTGTTGAGTGGTGAAGGATCAAATTGGAGAGGCTGATTGAAATTAGATTGTGGAGAACTCTGGGGACTCAACTAAATAGTTCAGATTTTATTTTGTCAGCGCTAGAAAGCCTGTTGCGGGTGGAGGGGGGCGGTGAGAATGGATGTGACCTGGACAAATTGGAATTTTAGGAAGCTCATCCTGGCAGGAGTGGCTAGTTTGAAAGGAGGAGAAACTGGAGCCATTGTTTAGACCTTTCTCTGTGGTGGCCTCAAACTTAGGAAGTGAGTGACTTGGAGCCCCTTCTTATCTTACTTGTGGGTTAAGGCTGACAGTACTACTGAGGTTCCTCCAGGGGGTAATAGTGCGGCAATTTAGAGCTCCAGCTTTGGAGTCCCCCAGTTCTGGGTCAGACCCTGGCTCTACCATTTATAAGCTGTGTGTTGTTGGGACACCAACTTTTCTGAGCCTCAAGTTCCTTAGCTGTGAAATGGGGGATAATAGTAACATCTACTTCATTGCTGTTAGCTGCCCTCAAGTTGGCCCCGACGCATGATGACCCCATGCACAAAGGAAGGAAATGATGCCTGGTCCTGTGCCATCCCCATGATTGGTTGCAGATCAGACCATTGTGATCCATAGGGTTATCATTGGCTGATTTTTGGAAGTAGACGGCCAGGCCTTTCTTCCTAGTCCATCTTAGTCTGGAAGCTCCACTGAAACCTGTTCAGCATCATAGCAATATGGAAGCCTCCACTGATGGATGTGTGGCAGCTGCATATGAGGTGCGTTGGCTGGGAATCAAACATGGGGCTCCTACATGGAAGGCGAGAATCCTACTACTGAACCACCAATGCCCTCTAATATCTACTTTTTTTTTTCCAGTTGCCATGGAGTCAACCCCAACTCATGGCGACCCAATGTGTGTCAGAGTAGAACTGTACTCCATAACGTTCTCAATGAATTTTTCAGAAGTAGATCTCCGGGACTTTCTTCCAAGGCTCCTCAGGGTGGACTCAAACCTCCAACCTTTCATTTAGCAGCTGAGAACATTAACTGTTTGCACCACCGCGTAACTTGAGCTAGAGGACTCTTTTTGTGCCCTGCAGCCCAGTTTACTTCTCAGCTCCTCCCTCCTCCCATCCTTGAAGGGTAAACCTGGCTTCCTTCCAGACAGACACTCCAGGGCATTTGCATTTCAAGTCCTGGATTATCAGAGGAAACAAATGGGGAAGGTATTTGTGTGGGCTTTGACACGTTCCACCTGCATATGCCATTTCAAGCACATTCCTATAAAGAACATGCCTCGGAGTACCTACTGTTTTTCATAAATTGGTTGATTTTGCTTATAGTGTAGAGGATTATCAAAATTAATTATAAGCTTAGATGTTGGAGGAGGGCAGCTCCCACCATGAGAAGCTACTAATTGTGGGACCTTGGACCAATGCTTCATCTTGCCCAGGCCCATTCACACACCTCCCCTGTAAGACAAGGAAAGTGTTATGTGGTGCAGAGAAATATGAGAATTCCATGGTATGTTGTCGTTGTTAGGTGCCGTTGAGCCAATTCTGACTCATAGCGACCCTGTATACAACAGAATGAAACACTGCCCCGTCCTGTGCCATCCTCACAAATGTTGCTATGTTAGCCTATGGTTGCAGCCACTGTGCCAATCCATCTCATTGAGGGTCTTCCTCTTTTTCGTTGATCCTCTGCTTTACCAAGCATGGTGTTCTTCTCCAGGAACTGGTCCCTCCTGATAGCATGTACAAAGTATATGAGACAAAGTCTTACCATCTTCACTTCAAAGGAACATTCTGGCTGTACTTCCTCCAAGACAGATCTGTTCGTTTCTTCTAGCAGTCCATGGTATAGTCAATATTCTTCACCAACACCATAATTCAGGTGCATCCATGGTATAACCAAAAACAAACCAAACCCGTTGCCGTCAAGCTGATTCTAACTCATAGTGACCCTACAGGACAGAGTAGAACTGCCCCATAGGGTTTCCAAGGAGTGCCTGGTAGATTCAAACTGCTGACCTTTTGGTTAGCAGCTGAACTCTTAACCACTACACTGCCAGGGTTTCCATTAATGGTATAGCATTTATGAAATGCTTAGAACATGGGGCGTGCTTAAGAAATGGTAGCTGTAACTATCTCGATTTCTTTCCCCAGGAATATGAGGGGGAACGGAATGATGCAGGTGAACGACATGGGAACGGGAAAGCCAGACTGCCCAATGGGGATACCTACGAGGGAAGGTATGAATTTGGTAAAAGACACGGCCAGGTAAGAACCACAACTTGACTGGAGGGTTTTCTATTTAGCTGGGTGTTGAATCTACTACCAAGTAGGACATTTTGGAATGATATGAATTACATAATCATATGTTTCAGGGGACCTACAAGTTTAAAAATGGTGCTCGCTACATTGGAGAATATTTCAAAAATAAAAAGCATGGTCAAGGCACTTTTATATATCCAGATGGATCGCGATATGAAGGTAAATGTTATGCCAAGCCAGTTTTGTGTGTGTGTGTGTTGCAAAGGTTTCTTGTTTTGTGATTGAACTTGGCTGTGGATACTGAAGTACAAGAGAGGGTTTAAAATTCTCCAGATTAGCCAGCCATTCAACAAACACAAATGGTGTTCTTAGGTTCACAGGCTGGGCAAAGAAAGCAGACTGCCTTTTAATTAATTAATCCCCAGTGGGAAATATGGCTGTCCTGTGACCAGCACATTCTGTCCCGTGAGCCAGTTTTCTTGGGAGCAAGCGACAAGGGAGGCTGTTGGGTAAGCACAGACTTGGGAGGTGGTGGGACCATGACTTTAGAGAGTTGACATCAACCTGATGGCAATGGGATTTTGGGTACCATTTGTCTGGAGTCCCTGGGTGGTGCAAATGGTTAACATGCTCAGCTGCTAAACAGTGAGGTTGGAGGTTCAAGTCTACCCCAGGGGCACCTCAGAAGAAAGGCTTGGTGATCTACTTCCAAAAATTCAGCCACTGAAAACCCTGTGGAGTACAGTTCTACTCTGACACACGTGGGGTCACCCTGAGTCAGAACGGATTCAGTGGCAACTGTTTTTTGCCATTTGTCTCCTTGAAGTTCTTTTTGCAATGTTCCATTTCTTTCTTTCTTTCTTTTCATTTTATTGTACTTGAGGTGAACGTTTACAGCACAAATGAGCTTCTCATTCAAAACTTTATACACAAATTGTTTTCTGACATTAGTTGCAATCCCCACATGGTGTCGGCACTCTCCTCCTTTCCTTTTCCACCCTGGGTTCCCTGTGTCCATTCGTCCAGTTTTCCTGTCCTTTCCTGCCTTCTTGTCTTTGCTTTGGCAGGTGTTGCCCATCTGGTCTCTTATACTTGACTGAACTAAGAAGCACGTTCCTCACGTGCGTTATTGTTTGTTTTATAGGCCTGTCTAAACTTTGGCTGAAAGGTGGACTTCGGGAGTGGCTTCAGTTATGAGTTAGCAGGGTGTCCGGGCGCCCTAGTCTTGGGGCTTCCTCCAGTCTTTGTCATACCAGTAAGTCTGGTCTTTTGTTTGTGTGTATGAATTTGAATTTTGTTCTACATTTTTCTCCTGCTCTGTCTGGGACCCTCTATTTGTGATCCTTGTTAGAGCAGTTGTTGGTGGTAGCCGGGCACCATCTAGTTCTTCTGGGCTCAAGCTGTTGGAGGCTGTGGGTGATGTGGTCCGTTAGTCCTTTGGATTAATATTTTCCTTGTGTCTTTGGTTTTCTTCATTCTCTTTTGCTCTGGAAGCAAGTATCTTAAATGGCCGCTTGCAAGCTTTTAAGACCCCAGATGTTACTCACCAAGGTAGGATGTAGAATATTTTCTTTATGAACCATGTTATACCATTGACCTAGATGTTCCCCAAGACTATGGTCTCCAGACCTCAGCCCCAGTAACTCAGTCCCCCCTCAAGGTGTTTGGATGTGTCTAGGAAGCTTCTATGACTTTGCCTTGGTCAAGTTGTGCTGACTTCCCCTATGTTGTGTGTTGTCTTTCCCTTCACCAGAGTTAACACTTGTCTACTATCTAGTTAGTGATTTCCCCTCCTCTCCCCTCCCCTCCCTCGTAACCATCAAAGATTGTTTTTTTCTGTGGGTAAACCTTTTCTTGGGTTTTTATAATAGTGATCTCATACAATATTTGTCCTTTTGTGATTGACTTATTTCACTCAGCATAACGCCCTCAAGATTCATCCATATTGTGAGATGTTTTGTGGATTCATCATTGTTCTTTACTGTTGCGTAGTATTCCATTGTGTGTGTGTACCACAATTTGTTTATCCATTCATCTGTTGATGGGCACTTAGGTTGTTTTCATCTTTTTGCTATTGTGAATAATGCTGCTGTGAACAATGTTCCATTTCTAACCAGCCCTTCTTCTCAGGACCACATTGTTTCTTTAGACCTAGTGGTTCCTTCCATGAATTCTTCTGGTCTAGGAGACATTCCACCTTGCTCAGCTGGCTTTTCCTGTCTCTGCCATAATTCCTTACATGCCAATTGTATATTTCAGTAGGATCTTTGTTTCCTTATTTCCAATACCTCACTGCTGTCCCCATGCACACAGTCACCTGATATGACTCAGTTGTTCATCGAACCCCAAGGAGGGACCAAGGTAGAGGTTCTGAGCCTGGGAGGAGATTAGAGATAGAAAGATTTTTTTAAAGAAAAAGTTAAATGCAAATTTGAAACAACAGTATAAAGTTCATACAAAAACATGCACTTCTGAAAAGGAACCGTGACTCATGGCCATTGAACACCTGCTCCAGAACATGGCCTTTCTCTGACTCACCTTCCTCAGTTGGGCAGGGTTTACTGCAGCGGCCTTGTGATCTGTTGAGCAGAGTCTCTAACAAGTTTTATGTAAAGCAGATCAGGCCCTTTTTAAAAGTTTGCCCACTAGGTCTTACCCGTTGCCATCGAGTCGATTCTAGCTCATAGCAACCCTGTAGAACAGCGTAGAACTTCTCCATAGGGTTTCCAAGGCTGTAATCTTTATGGAAACAGACTGCCACATCTTTCTCCCTTGGAGCGGCTGGTGGATTTGAACCGCCGACCTTTTGGTTAGCAGCCAAGTGCTTAATCACTGCACCACCTCAATAGTCCTTACAGACTTGAAATTGAATATCCTTGCCATTTCACTTTTGCAAATTTTCTTCTAAATGCTTAATGTATTTTTCTTGCCCTTTTGCTACCCTGGAGACCAGCCTACATAACCAATAGAATGGGGATGTCCATAATTTTGTCACAGATTTTTGTTGGGAATAAACCAAATGATGTGAATGTTTCAGCCACGATCTTGCCCCAGGGTTGTGCTGGGGCTGGCTCACACTAGCTCACGAAAGTTCATTCTGTGCCTCTTTTCCCAGTTCTGTAGGTAGTTTGAAATTGGCAAATGCCACAAAATCAGGACAGCGCCTTCTCCTCCTCCTCCTCCTCCTTCCTTCTCCTCTTCCTCCTTCCCTTCTTTCTTCTCTTCCCCTCCTCTTCCTCCTTCTTCCTCTTGGTTTCGATAACTGGTTTACCAGCACACCACTGCCCAGAGATCCAGACAAGATTTCTACACATTCTGCATATCCTCATGGCCAATTCTATATTCAAGCCCTCTATCAGTGAATTAGTTCAATTTTAGAATTCTTCATCTATCTTAATCATGTTGTCCTATCTTATATCACATCATGGAACCCTGTCCTCTTTCTTGTTACCAATGGCCACCTGACTTCTCTTCATGAGGTTTTGGTAAACTTGCTTTTGTTCTGAACTATTATCCACTTTTCGAACCATGCAGAGTAGCCCTTTATGTTGCCGTACATTGTACTTTGCTGATCACGCACGTGTCTGACTATCCTCCCAGCCTGAGGGCAAGTTCCTTGAGGACATGCCCTATTATTTGTACAACTATATGTATGAGGAGGAGCCCTGCTGGTGCAGTGGTTAAGAGCTCAGCTGCTAACCAAAAGGCTGGCAATTTGAATCCAACAGCTGCTCCTTGGAAATCCTATGGGGCAGTTCTACTCTGTCCTATATGGTCACTATGAATCAGAATAGGCTTGATGACAATGGGTTTGTGTGTGTGTGTGTGTGTGTGTGTGTGTGTGTGTGTGTGTGTGTGTGTATGAGGATGGTGCAGGACCAGGCAGTGTTTCATTCTGTTGTACATAGGGTCGCTATGAGTCAGAACTGATTCGACTGGCACTTAACAACAACAATGTCTAAATATCTCACAGGGTGCTCAGGACATCATGGGTGCTGAATAAATATTAGATTGATTTGGGAAAATATGTAGAAACTCCTTTTTGCTGATAAATGTTGAAGTGTATTCATGTAAACACACATTGCTTGGGTAATTAATATTTTCTTTAGCATATTGTATATTCTTTTTCTTTGTACAGAGGTGGATCGTTTTTGTTTTTTTTTTTTCCTAATAAGCCTAAAGCTTATACGAGTTTTGGGGGCCCTCTTCAGAAAAAAAAAAGGATATAAAGTTGACATAAAAGTGACTTTTTATTTGTAATGATAAAAGAAATAAAAACAAAAAATTTAAAAATACTATAAACATCACAAAATCGAAGAAAGTAACCTAAGATTTTTATTAATGCCTCTGGAATATCTTTTCCATTTTGTAAGCTAATACCCTTTGAATGTCTCTCTATATGACAACAATTTTAAAATATCATTTTCTATTTATAGCCCTTGTCATGGATTGAATTATGTCCCCCCAAAAATGTGTGTATCAATTTGGCTGGGTCATGATTTCAAGTATTGTGTGATTTTTCTATATGTTGTAAATCCTGCCTCTATGATGTTAATGAGGGAGGATGGGCAGCAGTTGTGTTTGTGAGGCAAAACTCTATCTACAAGATTGGATTGTGTCTTGAGGCAATCTCTTGAGACATAAAAGAGAGAAGCGAGCAGAGAGACAGGGGGACCCCATACCACCAAGAAAGCAGTACCGAGAGCCGAGCGCGTCCTTTGGACTTGGGGTTCCTGCACGGAGAAGCTCCTAGTCAAGGGGAAGATTGATGAGAAGGCTGATAAGAGAGAGAAAGCCTTCCCCTGGAGCTGACGCCCTGAATTTGGACTTTTAGCTTACTTTACTGCGACGAAATAAACTTCTCTTTGTTAAAGCCACCTGTGGTATTTCTGTTATAGCAGCACTAGATGACTAAGACAGCCCTGTTGGTGCAGTGGTTAAGTGCACAGCTGCTCACTGAAGGGTTGGCAGTTTGAACTCATTTAGCGACTCAGTGGAAGAAGACCTGTTGATCTGCTTCTAAGTATTACAGCCTAGAAAACTCTATGGGGCAGCTCTACTCTGTCACGTGGGGTGACTGAGTTGAAGTGGATTCGACAGCACCTAACAACAACAACAAATAGAATAGGAAGATAATTCCATCTTTCCTCTTTGACCAACAGATTGATCAAAATTTGTTTCTTTATTATTCATAGTTTACAATAGTGTCTTTCATCTAAACAACTTGTTATTGGCAATGTCATGTACGTTTTTACAATAGTTGCCGAATTTGTAAAAATGTCTATTAAGTTTCTTTCATATGTGAGCTGTAAGATTGGGGGACGTTCCGAGTTTTGTAGTTCAGGGATTAACAGTAAATACTCTCTGAATTCACACCATCCCTTACCCAGTCTGCCTTGTGCTGTACCAAATTCGTGGGATGGTATGTCAGGTGCAATGCAGGAAAGACAAGTCAGGGAGGCGTGCAAGTCACAGGTTTATTATGCTCTCAGTTCCCAGAGATGGGAGGCGTAGCACGCCATGATGAAGGCCACACAGGGGGCTGCACCGGGGGACAAGTCAACAATAAGCGGAATTGTAGGAGAGGGCTTCTGTATGGCAAGCAGTATGGTTTTATCTAGGTTTTGTGAGCTTCTTTGGGATTAGGCATTTTGAATAATTCTGTAGGCTCAGGGGCATAGAGGATGTCCCTAGTTGTTGGGTACCTAGCCCTGGGGTGATTAGGATGGGTGCATAGTGGCCCAGGAGCATGAGTTGGAGTTGGAGAGTGGACTTAATCAGCTGCTCAAGAACAGGAATAGACGGGCCTCTACCCAGGTCCTCAAAACTGGATCAAGACAGCATTTCAAAAAAAATGGTATCGCCCTTTGTCCTCATTGTACCCATTGCCGTCAAGTCGGTTCTGACTCATAGCGACCCCATAGGACAGAGTAGAACTGCCCCATAGGGTTTCCAAGCAGCAGCTGGTGGATTCCAACTGCCGACCTTTTGGTTAGCAGCCGAGCTTTTAACCACTCTGCCACCAGGGCTCTGTCCTCATTGTAGAGCTATTTTATAAATTTCATGACATCTTTGCCAATTATAGTACTTCATATCAAGTCAGCAAGACATTAGCATGCACCTGTACGGAGGTGAGTGGCACGGCCCCTCGGCAAGGGAAGAGTCCCAGCAGAGGTGGAGGGGGGTGAGGGCATGGCATCCAGGTGCATGGACGTAGTGTGTAGGTGGGGTGGCTAGACTGCAGAAGTGTGTGGGAGCCATGAGGGAAATAGACTGAAATGTTGGCATGTGGCCAAGGGTGGACTGTCAAGCCTTAAAGTCAAGGGACCAAAGCCCTGGTCCAGGATCACTAAGCACATGAACGTAAGGGAGTGTGGTGCTGGGATCATGGCAGTAGACAGGGTCAGATGAACCTGGCTTTGGACCCTTGCTCTTTAGTTGACCGGCTTGCGGAACCTGCTGTCAGTACACACAGGTGATATGGGCCACATACATACACCTCTACCAGACCTGTACCAGATGGATCCTGACTCAGCTCTCCCTTAACTAGCTCCTCAAATGGCCATGGCCACTCCATGCCATCCAGAGTGAGAGGAAGGGGACAGAGGGAAATCAGAGTGGAAAGGGACAATGGCCTTTGCCATTGAAGTTAAAACGTCTCTCCTCTGCAACATTTCCAAAGCTGTCTGATCCTGTGAGTACTTTGTTAGAGCATGTGTGGCACCCGGAAGCAGAAGCTTCTCTAGCTTTATGGCATATCTGCCTCTGTCACCGTCCTAGCCCGGGGACCTGGTCAGGGTAGCACCCCTCTTCTCACCTGGGCTGTATTGTGTCGTCCCTTTCAGGAGAGTGGGCAGATGACCAGAGACACGGCCATGGTGTGTACTACTACGTCAACAATGACACCTACACAGGAGAGTGGTACTCTCACCAAAGGTTTGGTTACCATCTTTGGCCTTGTACATTTATTCATGTGATAAGAATAAGATGATGTTTACCCTTATATGGGAGACCCTGGGTGGCACAAACGGTTAACGTGCTCAGCTGCCAACCATGAGGCACCTTGGAAAGAAAGGCCAGGCAACCTACATCGGAAAAACCAGCATTGAAAACCCTAGGGAGCCCTGTTCTACTCTGACACGCATGGTGTCACCATGAGTCAGGGTTGACTCAATGGCAACTAACAACAACAACCCTTCCATGTGACTGTTTACACTTATTAAGAGACAGAACCATGACAGAAGCTCATTTACCCATTCTGCCAGGCACTGCAGAACTTCTGTGGTTCAAAGCAAGCCTGCTGGATGATACCTCACTGAGCGTGTATGGACAGCAGGTCCTCAGCACTGCATGCCCTTGTCTCCCCTCAGAGGGGCAGCACATGGGCATATGGGTCTACCATCCATGAGCTCTGGGGTGTGAGGGCATGGGAGAACCACAGCTCCTAGTAACACCACTTCTTCCTCAAGGGAAGGCTGATGCGCAGGAAGGCTGTCTCTGTCCCGAGGGCGATACCTGTCCTTTGGGTGGGCATCTGTTAATGTTGCTCGATGCTTGGGCACACTGAGCAGGAGGCATCTTCAAATACAGAAACCAAACAGCCAGCGTGTGAGCATCTACAGAGGCCACCCTCTGTTTACATGTCTGTGTTATAAATCTTGAGGATTTTCACTGCGGTAGAACAAAATGTCAGCATGCCCCTTGTCTTAACCAGGCACGGGCAAGGCACCTATTTCTACGCAGAGACGGGCAGCAAGTATGTTGGCACCTGGGTGAATGGACAACAGGAGGGTGCAGCTGAGCTTATCCACCTGAACCACAGATACCAGGGCAAGTTCTTGAACAAAAACGTAAGTCAATGGGAAGCGATGTTTGCCGATGAAATACACAATGCCACCTTGCCCTCTTCCCCAAGGTGGTGAAAATTATTTGGATGTAAAATACCCACCACTCAGGGAGCCCTCTCCTGTCCCCTCCAAACATGGGGAACAGGATAGCCACGCCTCACTCTGAGAATTCCTGCTTCAGGCTCTGATACCCACAGAGTGGCAGAGAGGTGGGGAAGGGAGGGACTTGTCCTGTAACCAGAAGGAATTCCATTGTCTTTCAGCAGCAGTGTGTCGTACCATTATAACACAAGGGGGCATCTTAGCCTCTGCTGTCTGTGTTCCTTCTTATTGGTCCATCAGTCTGAAACCACTGAATGTTTCCTGCAGTTCAGCACGTAGGTGTTTTGACTTTCTTTCCCCTTTAGGGGGCACTGCTAGAGCCTGGTAGAGGGAGACCCATGAGCTCCTTTCTCCTGCTGCAGGCCAGTGGCCCTCTCCGGGCAGTGGTGAGATTTGGGGGTGTCCAGGGAGCAGGTCTGCTTTCCAGCTCACAATACCTATGATTGGTCTCTTCCACCTGAAGGACTTTGTGACTTTGCTTTCCCTTCTTGTACAGGGCCATAGTGTGATGCAGAGAAACCCTGGATAATTCAGAACCTACAGCATGGGTATTTGTGGGTTGAGAGGAGACTCCCTGAAGAATTTGCTGAGCAAATTAATAATGTTAGTGTTAGAAGCTGACATAGGGAACATTTTACTGAATGAAGTCTTTTCAGACTCTCTTAAAACCCAGTTTTCATTTACATATAATTTATGTCCTAACCATAGATTCTACTTTTCATCTTAATGAAAACAACATACTCTTCTCAAATCTATATGATGTATATGTAATTCTCAGCAGAATTCCTATGGGCATTTTTTGGGGATGGGAAGCTGGTGGAGGGGAAGAGAACTTGACAAAAGTTAATCTAGAGGAATTAATAAGGCTGCTTACGTAACAACAATTGTGAGGATGGCCAAGGACTAGGCAGTGTTCCGTTCTCTTGTACACAGGGTTGCTATGAGTTGGCGGCACCTAGCAGCAACAACATGTACAACCAAAAACCTCATGGGATTTGGTTCTTTAGTTCGGATGTTTAGGGTCATGGTTTCATGGGACATCCTAATAAGGTGTTTAGTGTTTCTGTTCTACCTCCTAGTTGGTTGCATAGAGCCTGGGGTCTTAAAACCTTGCAAGTGGCCATCCAAGGCACAACAATTGGTCTCTATTCACCTGGAGCAACAGAGGAAGAGAGAGTCAGGACTGGGAGGAGAACATGGAATGTGTGGCTAATTGCCTCCATGAACAACTGCCTCCTTTGCCATGAGACCAGAAGAACCGTATGGTGCCTGGCCACAATTCCTGATGATTTTGATCCAAGATTACATAGAAAAATCCTGATCAAAAGGGGAAAAATGCAGAATGGAATTTCAAGTTGTCATGGACTTCAGACTTTCTGAAGCCAAGGGGGCTGGGTGATCCCCTGAGACTATTGCCCTGAGATAATCTTTAAAACTTAAACCAAAAATATCTGCTGAAATCTTCTTAAAACCAAACAATAGTTTAACTTAACTAGTAAAAAATGTTTGCCTTAAGCATTGTGTTCTTTTAAGAACTATTTTTAATTGATGCCTTTGAATTATGGTGTTGGCAAAGAATGTTGGGTATACCACTGACTGCAAGAAGACGTAACAAATCTGTCTTGGAAGAAGTGCGGCCAGAATGCTCATTGTAAGAGAGGATGGTGAGACTTCTCACATACTTTGGACATGTTATCAGGAGGGAGCAGTCCCTGGAGAAGGACAATGTCTTAGGCTGGGTTCTCTAGAGAAGCAAAACCAATAAAGTGTATAAACATATATATAGAGAGATTTATAGCAAGGAAATGGCTCGTGCAGTTGTACAGACAGGAGCATCCCAAGTCTGTGGGTCAGGTGGAGGCTTCTCCTGATTCATGTAGCCTCAGGGGCTGGTGAACCTAAGATTGGCAGGTCAGAGAGCAGGGCTTTTGTTCACAGGCTGCAAAGACTGACGAATCCCAAGATCGGCAGGCAAGACCGCAGGTAAGCTGCTAGCTCAAGTCCCAAGGACCAGAGGTTAGATGAACAGGAGCCAGCTGCAGGATCTGAAGCAAGCAAAAAGCCATGAGCCTTGCCAGAATGTCCACTTATATTCGATGCAGGCCACACACCCAAGGAACCTCCCTTTCAACTGACTGGCTACTCACAGCAGATCCTATCATGGAGGTGATCACAACATCGTACGACTGCCAAACCACTGAGAATCATGGCCCAGCCAAGTTGACACACAATCTTAACCATCACAGACATCATACTTGGTAGAGTAGATGGTCAGTGAAAAAGAGAAAGACCTCAACAAGATCAACTGACACAGTGGCTGCAACAATAGGCTCAAGCATAATAACAATTGTGAGGATGGCGCAGGACCAGGCAATGTGTTTCGTTCTGTTGTACATAGGGTTACTATGAGTTGGAAATGACTTGATGGTACCTAACAGCAACAACATATGGGATCAAAGTGACAACAACAACTCAAAAGATAGGAACCTTAGGGGGCAGTGAGTTTATGTTAATGGGGGAGGAACAACTCAGAAAAGGAGGGTGAGAATGGCTGTACAACTCGAAGAATATAATCAATGTCATTGAATTGCAGAAGTAGAAACTGTTAAATTGGTGTATGATTTGCTGTGTATATTCTTAACAACAACAACAAATAACATAAAATAAAAAAGAATTAATAAGTGCAAACAGCCCAGACTAATCTGAAAAAGAAAGTAAAAATGGAGGCTTTGTTCTACTAATTATTCAAAAACTTCAGTGTTAACATGAATAATAGGTGAGTACATCCCAACTGTAAAACATTAGAACAACGAAGTCCCCCCTTCCCCTCCCTTCTCTTTCCAGCCCTCCTTCCTTTCTCCCTTTCTCTTCTCCAGCCCTTGGGGATGTATCCTTCCACACTTCTTTCTGTGTATCCTGCATGCACACTTAGACATGCGTCTTATACAGAATTATGGTTTGGGGTTTTAATTACATAAATAGGATCTCATTATATTGGGAAGGTCCCTTGGTGATGCAAAGGGTTTGCACTCAACTACTAACCTAAAGGTTGGCAGTTCAAACCCAGCCTGTGGTACCATGGAAGAAAGGCCTGATGATCTGCTTCCATTAAGATTACGGCTAAGAAAACCCTATGGAGCAGTTCTACTCTATAACACATGGGGTCACCAGGGGTCTGAATTGACTCCATGGCAACCAACAACAACAACAAATATATTGGGACACGAGCATATACGCAAAGATACATCTTTATCTTCGTGTACGTTTGGGAGTATTTATGTAGGTTATGAAGATGTGGAATTGCAGAACATACAAGCGTGGATATTTTAAATGGTGACTAACACTGCCAAATTGTCCTAAAAAGCTGTATTAATTTATACTCTCACCAGCAGAATCTGAGTCTCTTTATCAGTTGTCCTCACCAATACTGGGTACTGCATCAGTCTTTAACAATCTTTTTCAATCCGATGAGGAAGAGTGCTAGCTCATTGTTTTACTGAGCATTTCCCCGTGAGGTCGAGCATTTCTTCACACTTTCGTTGCTGTCTTGTGTTTCTTCATCAGAGAATTACCTGTTCACATCCTTATCTGACAAGGTGTAAAGCATACTGTGTTGTTGTTCTTGGAGCTCTGGTGGTGCAGTGGTTGAGAGCTCAGCTGCTAACCAAAAGGTCAGCAGTTCGAACCCACCGGCCACTCCTTGGAAACCCTATGGGGCGGTTCTACTCTGTCTTACAGGGTCGCTATGAGTCAGACTCGACTTGATGGTAATGGATTTGGTTTTGGTTTTGATATGCTGTTAGCTGCCATTGAGTTGGCCCCAACTCACGGTGACCCCATGTACAATGAAACAAAATGCTGACCAGTCATGTGCCATCTCCATGATTGGTTGTGGATTGGACCATCGTGATCCACCAGGTTTTCATTGGCTGATTTTCACAAGTAGATCTCCAGGTCTTTCTTCTTAGTCCATCTTAGTCTGGAAGCTCTGCTGAAACCTGTTCAGCATCATAGAGACCTGTGTCTCAGTCATCTAGTGCTGCTCTAACAGAGATACCACAAGTGGATGGATTTAGCAAAGAGAAGTTTATTCTCTCACAGTCCAGTAGGCTACAAGTCCAAATTCAGGGCTTCAGCTCCAGGGGAAAGCTTTCACCATCGGCTCTGGAGGAAGGTCCATGTCATCAGTCTTCCCTTGGTCTGGGAGCTTCTCTGCGCAGGAACCTCAGGTCCAAAGGATGCACTCTGCTCCTGGCAGTGCTTTCTTGGTGGTACGAGGTTCCCATGTGTCTCTGCTTGCTTCTCTCTTTTATATCTCAAAAGAGATTGCATTAAGACACTAATCTTGTCAACCTCATCAATATAACCTCATCACAGCAATAGAATTTATAACACATGAGGAGATCATATATAATCTCATCACAGTGGTGGAGTTTACAACACATAAGGAAATCACATCCGATAACACAATCATACAATACTCGGAATCATGACCTAGCCAAGTTGCTACCCACATTTTTTGGGGGACACAATTCAATCCATGACAACAAGTCTTCACTAACAGATGGGTGGTGGCTGTGCATGAGCTGCATTGGCCGGGAATCAAACCTGGGTCTCCCATATAGAAGGTGAGGATTCTACCGCTGAACCATCACTGTCCTCAAAACATACTGTAAAGCTTCAATAATTAAAACAGTGTGATACTGGGATAGAAATATAACAATGAACAAAGCACATTAGAAAGTCCTGAGACATCCAAGTATTTGAAATAATTTAGCCTTTGATGAGGCTGTCATTTCAAATTAGGGGTAAAATGATGGTGGAGTCAAGAAATGGTGCAGGGACAACTTGATAACCATTTGGGAGAAAAAGCAAATCAGTGTCCCATATGAGTTTTCCTAGGGATGCTGTAACAAATTCCCAAAAGCTGGTGACTTAAAACAACAGAAATTCATTCTCTCATAGTTTTGGAGGCCAGAAGTTGGAAATCAGTTTCACTGGGCTGAACTCAAGGTGTCAGTGGGGACATACTCTCTCCAGATGCCCTAGGGGAGAATCTATTCTTTGTTTCTTCCAGCTTCTGGTGGCTCTAAGCATTCCTTGGCTTGTGGCTTCATCACTCTAATCTCTGTCTCTATGGTCACATTGCCTCCTCCTCGTCCATCCATGAAAACTCCCTTTACCTCCTTCTTGTAAGGATACCTGTTATGAATTAAAGTGTGTTCCCTCCAAAGTATCTATTGGAATCCCAATTCCTATACCTGTGTATGTGATCCTGTTTGGAAGTAGAGTTTTCTTGGTATAGGTTTGCTATGAGTTGGAATTGACTTGACGGCAATGGATTTTGGCAATGGGTTTGTTATGTTAGACTATACCCAAGCTAAGTGTGTTCTAGATCTAATCACTTCTGGGTTCTAAAGGAGCAGATTAGGTTAGATACAGAGATATGCATACATGGGGGGAAGACAGATGCCTTGTGAGGATCATCTACAAGTCAAAGAATCAAGGAATGCTTGGAGCTACCAGCAAGGAAGGAATTGACTGGGTGGAGACCCTGATTTGGACTTTTACTTCCAGAACTATGAGAAAATAAATTCCAGTTCTTTAAAGCCCCCCACTTGTGGTATTTGTGTTACAGCAGCTCTAATAGACTAAGACACATATGACAGTCTTTAAGGTTCACCTGGATGATCCAGAATAGTCTTCCCATTTCAAGATCCTTAACTTAGTCACATCTGCAAAGTACCCCCCCCCCCACCTTTTTTTTATCATAGAAGGTAACATTCACAGGTTCCAGGGATTAGGACATTGATGTCTGTTTGGGGGACATTATTCATGCTACCGGAGATCTGTTCTGCAGCATGTAGATAAAGAGGATTTCTAGAAAGTAAAGATTTAAATGTAAACAAGGAAACCGCATGTAGAAGAAAGCATAGATGAATATTTATTGACTTGGAAATGGGGAAAGAGAACTTCTTAAACAGAAACATAAAAACCAAATCAATAGGTTTTACTTTCTAAAAATAACCTCTGAAAGAACAGAAAATGTCGTAAAGAAATGAATGACAACTGGCGTTAGAATATTTGCAGCATTTAATATATAAAGCTCTTGTATCAATCAGTGAGATTTGAGCAGCCAAAAAATATTGAAAAATTGACCCTACTAATAATTTAAAAGACGTGACTTAAAATGGCGAGATCCCCCCCCCTTTTTTTTTAATCTTAAAAAACATATAAAGGTGAAGAAGGTGCTAATACCCAGAAAGAGTAAGGGGTTGAGACTACCGGGGCTCTGCTCACTGTTGTAGGAATGAAAATTGTTAGAGCCTCATTCTGATCAAAGTATGGATGTACTTTTGTCCAGAAATTCTACTTCTGAAAATTTACCCTAAGGAAAATATGAAGGGTATGCATAAAGATTTAACTCCGAGTATCTTTCTATAGCATTCCTTGTCAAAGAGAATTATTAGCATAGTAAGTATCAACAATAGTAAATTATAATTCAGAGATAAAATAAACACCAGAGAATAACTGGTGTTGTGGAAGAATATAAACATGGATGGTCATTCATTCCATATTTCTAAGTAAAAATGGGGTACAAGTCAGTAGGTGTAGTTACGATGTGGATTTCTGTTTAAAAAAAAAGCTATGTTCTAGAAAGAAAATTACAAGGAATACAACAAAATATTAGAAGCAGTCTATCTTGAGTAAGTTTTCCTGTGGGTGTAGGACTCATTAAAATTTTTATAACCAATACATCACTTCTATAAAGAGATAAAACACTGTTAAGGATTTAAAAAATAAGCGAAACGGGACATGTTGTTGTTGATGTGTTGTTGTGTGCATGTTGTCGGGTTGAGTTCGACTCATAGCAACCCTATATGAGAGAGTAGAACTGTCCCGTAGGGTTTCCTAGACTGTAACCTTTACGGGAGCAGATCGACAGGTCTTTTCTCCTGTGGAGCCGCCAGTGGGTTCAAACCACTGACCTTTTGGTTAGCAGACAAGCACTTTAACCACTGCACCACAAGAGCCCCTAAACAGGACATATACTTTGCAATTTTCTTTTCTTTTTTCTTTTTACTCTTTGTTTATTGTTGTGCTTTAAGTGAAAGTTTACATGTCAAGTTAGTCTCTTAAACAAAAATTTATACATACATTGTTATGTGACCCTACTTGCTCTCACTGTACTGTGACAGCACACTCCTCCTTTCCACCCCTGATTTCCTGTGTCCATTCAACCAGCTCCTGACCCTCTCTGCCTTCTCATCTCACCTCTGGACAGAAGCTGCCCATTTAGTCTCATGCATCTACTTGAACTAAGAAGCACACTCTTCACGAGTATCATTTTATGTCCCACAGTCCAGTCCAATCTTTGTCTGAAGAGTTGGCCTTGGAAATTGTTTTAGTTCTGGGCTGATAGAGAATCTGGGGCCCGTGCTTTCCAGGGTTCCTCCAGTCTCAGTCAGACCATTAAGTCTGGTCTTTTTACTAGAATTTGAGTTCTGCACCCCACCTTTCTGCTGCTACATCAGGGACTCTCTGTTGTGTTCCCTGTCAGGGCGGTCATTGGTGGTAGCCGGGCACCATCTAGTTCTTCTGGTCTCAGGCTGATGAAGTCTCTAGTTTATCTAATACTTTCCTTGTGTCTTTGGTGCTCTTCATTCTCCTTTACTCCAGGTGGTTGGGACCAATTGATGCATCTAAGATGGCCGCTTGCAAACTTTTAAGACCCCAGATGCCACTCACCAAAGTAGGATGCAGAATGTTTTCTTAATAAACTTTGTTTACTTTGCAATTTTATTAGTCATTAGTTCGTCAGGCATTTTTTAATCCAGGTTGGACTTGACCCAATTGTATGATTTTGGGTAAGTGTTATCGTGGTAACATTATATCATTTATTTGATATTGGGTGTTGACATGATGAAGTATCTCTTGGTTTCTCTTGCTCGTAGCCTGTTGGCCCTGGAAAGTATGTGTTTGATATTGGATGTGAACAGCACGGTGAATATCACTTAACTGATGTGGTAAGTTCCAGAGTATATATCCTTTCCTACATTCATAGGTAAAAGAGCCGTTCAGTTATAATGCTTCCAGAAGGTTAGAGGTGATTAGAATAAGAAGTATGTCAACTCTTGGGAACTTTTGCTTTTTCGTTTTCCTTTTTTATTTGCATGCACTAATATAGAATTCAATTGCTAGAACTAAATCACATCATTTCAAAGTTATTGCTGAAGTCAATATGAACCATCAAATCCTGAGTTGGGGAGTTATGGACACTGTGAGGTTCCTGGCTGGTGCAAACAGTTTTTGCTTGACTTATAACCGGAGGGCTGGTGGTTCAAACCCACCCAGTGGTACTGTGGAAGAAGGGCCTGCCTATCTGCTTCTGTAAAGATTACAGCCAAGAAAACCCTATGGAGCAGTTCTACTCTCCATGAGTTGGAATTGACTCAACAGCAATAGTTTTTTTTTTTTTTTGAAGTCTTATAAGTGACAGTTGAAATGTGTAACACAGTATTACCACAAACCGTTCAATAACTGTTAGCATTTCAGGGGTGTGACTCGCAAGACCCATGTCAAGCCTTACATTATCCTACAGACAGTTGGCAATTGGTCTGGTTACTGAATAGTGCCATAAAAGTGCTACAATACAATTCCAAACCTGTCCCTCTCTCCCTCACTTCGGATATTCCAGACTGAGTTTATGCAAACATTAGAAAGTTGACATTTTTAAACTTAAACCAGGAAAGAGGTGAAGAGGAGGAGGAGGAGGAGGCGTTAGTAGCTGTCATTCCCAAATGGAAAGCCACCAAAATTACGGAGCTGGCCCTGTGGACGCCGAGGCTTCCGGAGGAGCTGCCGCCTGCAGACACACTACCTGGGCAGGAAGAGGTCCCGGGGGCCGAGGGTACGCGCGTCTCCAGGCACTTTGGGAGCAGACTCTGGGTAGATTTGTGTGCAAGGTGTTTATTACAGCAAGCCTTTGAGATCAGCATGCGAGAGGTAACAGATACTCCCAGGGAGGGGAGAGGAGGGAAGAAGTAGGGTTGATTGGATGCAGATGCAGGCCCTCCACCACTGCAGGGAACTACCCGGGCAGGTCTGGGGATGGAATGTTCTTGTTTCCCTCATCTTGATCAGTGCTTGGAAACCCTGGTGGCGCAGTGATTAAGTGCTACAGCTGCTTAACCAAAAGTTCAGCGGTTTGAATCCACCAGGTGCTCCTTGGAAACTCTGTGGGGCAGTTCCACCCTGTCCTATAGGGTCACTCGGAATTGACTTGACGGCAGTGGGTTTGGTTTTGGTTTTGATCAGTGGTTGGGCATGGGCTGCTCAGGTACAGTGTGGCTTTGGTCACGGACACTGACAGCAGCTAGTGACAAGTCCTTCCTTTAAGAAGGACCTGGAGCACTTCTCCGGGGCCATCATAACGCTCTCTGAGAAGTTGTTCAAGTGCCGGCTAACGTCTGCAAGGTTATACTGGATAGGATTCTTTCCATTGCAAGTGATGGAAAGCCAACTCAGTTTGGCCTAAGTTAGATGATGATGATAGTATGTGTTGGTTCATTTAACTGCAAAGCTCCGGGTGAAGACAGCCCCAGGCACCGCTGGGCCAGGTCTCTGGATGGAGTTCTAGCTCCCCTCTGCTTGGCTCTGTTTGCAGCCGCACTCTTCCCTCTGGAGAAGGACAGGAATGGACGCCAGCTTCACCACATTTCCATCCAGTCAGCTTGTGAATACCAGGGACAGAGGGCTCCTCTCTCTCAGTATTTTCACTAAACTCCTGAAATTAGGTTTATTGGACCAACTTGGGTCACAGGCACCTCTCTGAACCATTCAGGGCAATGGGGGATGGGTGCTTTGTTGGCCAGGCCTAGGCTGAAGCTGGGCAGAGGCGGGTTGCTTAAGATGGGCCTGTGGTCTACCTTGTACTGGTCTGCTCAGTTTTATCACACTCTGGTGGCATAGTGGTTAAGCATTCGGCTGCTAACCAAAAGGTCGGCAGTTCGAATCCACCAGCTGCTCCTTGAAAACTATGGGGCAGTTCCACTCTGTCCTATAGGGTCACTGTGAGTCGGAATTGACTCAATGGCAATGGGTTTGGTTTTTTTTTTTTTTTTTTGGGTTGTATTTCATAGGTCCCTGGGTCGTGCAAACAGTTTGCACTCAACTACAACATAAAGGTTGGCGGTTCAAACCCACCCAGCGGTGCCTTGAAGGAAAGTCGTTGCAATCTGCTTTCATCAAGGTTAAAAAAATAAACCAAAAACCAAACCTGTTGCAGATGAGTCGATTCTGACTCATAGCGACCCTATAGGACCCAGAAGAACTGCCCCATAGAGTTTACAAGGAGAGCCTGGTGGATTCGAACTGCTGACCTTTCTGTTACCAGCTGTAGATCACAGCAAAGAAAACCCTATGGAGCACAGTTCTACTCTGTAACACATGGAGTAGCCATGAATTGGAATCAACTCGACAACAACGGGTTTGGTTTTGTTTTTGGTTGTCTTTCAGGGGGAGACCCTGGGGAGGACACCCAGCTGCTGACAGACGTTTCCGAGGGCGAGAATGAATCTTTAAGGGCGGTCGATGAAGACGGAGACACCATCAGGGATGAGGGTCGGGACTACAACAGGGACGAGTTCCGATATGACATAGACCAGGGTGAGGACGAGGGTGAGGGGAGTGAGCATGAGCGATGGTCTACTCACACTGTGTGATCAGACATCCCGGAGCAAGGCCATCCTGGGTCAGGCCCAGGGACTCAAGAGGGCTTCTGAAGACCCACTGCAAACTCACGTGGAGTCCGTAGTCAGAAGGGTACTTCTCTCTTAAATACCCCTGCAAACCTGCTGACTCCAGCTTTGACCCAGGTGTGATGCCCAAGGTTCCCTCTATGGAGCCCTGGTGGCACAGTGGTTAAGAGCTCAGGCTGCTAATCAAAAGGTCGGCAGCTGGAATCCACCTGCCACTCCTTGGAAACCCAATGGGGCCGTTCTACTCTGCTCTATAGAATTGCCATGAGTTGGAATTGACTCCACAGCAGCAGGCTCGGTCAGATTTTGTTCTCTGTGTCCCTTGCGAATCTCCGTTTTAACCTCAGGCCAAAAGTTGAGCTAGAAATCAATAACACCACTTTGCTTGACTGCACGGTTTTTACTGCTGCTGACTCGCAGGGGTATGATGGAGGATTCACAGTGTTGCAGTGAACCTAGAAGCTTCAGCTCCCACCAAACCATGGAGCCCAGATTTGACCTCAGGTCCAACTGAAGCTTCAGTTCCTGAAAGCTTTAAAAAAATCTTTCCTCAGAGAGAGGACTCACTTCTTTTTTTTAACTTTTTTTTATTGTACTTTAGGTGAAGCTTTGCAGAACAAATAGTTTCTCATTAAACAGTCAGTACACATATTGTTTTATGACATTGGTTAACAACCCCACGACATGTCAACCCTTTCCCTTCTTGACCATTTTTTTTGTGAAAATATACATAGCCAAAGATACATGCTCAGTTCAGTGACATCGACTACGTTTTTCCAGTTTTGATGCTATTCTCACTTTAGATGAAGGTTTACAGAACAAAGTAGTTTCTCATTAAACAGTTAGTACACATGTTGCCCTATGACAATGGTTAACAACCCCACTACGTGTCAGCACTGTCCTTACTCAACCTTGGGTTCCCTATCACCAGCTTTCCTGTCCCCTTCTGCTTTCTAGTCCTTGTCCCTGGACTGCTGTGCCTCATTAGTACCATTTTGTTTTATGGGGCTGTCCACTCCCCGGCTGAACAATGAACCTCAGAAGTGACTTCACCACTGAGCTAAAAGGGTGTCTGGGGGCCATACTCTCGGGGTTTCTTAAGTCTCTTTCAGGCCAGTAAATCTGGTGTTTTTTTTTTGTGAGTTAGAATTTTGTTCTACATCCTTCTCCAGCTCTGTCCAGAACCCTCTATTGTGATCCCAGTCAGAGCAGTCAGTGGTGGTAGCTGAGCACCATCTAGCTGTACTGGACTCAGTCTGGTGGAAGCCTTGGTAGCTGAGGACTCACTTCTTTTATTCTAATGTCTTATATTGAATTTAAAGCTGATGTCTTGGGTGCAAGGGAAAGGGGGTCCTGGGGGCAGCCTGGGGTTATGAACCCCCTGGGGTCTCGCCCTGGTTCCAGACGGTGCTCACTAGCCCGGTGCCCCGATCGATGGCATTTGTCTTTGTTGTAAATTAAGAGAACATGTATTTCTTGTTCTTCTGGAGCTAGTACCTGGAATAATTAAATCATGTGAAACAGTTTTCCCTTAAATGCTTTAAACACATAGAGATTTAGACTTTCTTTCGCAATAATTATCCTAAATACTGTAAAGATACACAAAGACCACATGGTGTTGGGGTCAAGGCTGGGAGCTTTGTTGGAATCTGGCCTTACGAGTTCCTAGCTGTGTGGCCTCTTACCCTCTCTGTTTCCCTTACCTGTGTAATATGGATAATAACAATGCCTAGTGGAGGCAGTGGTGGTTCAGTGATAGAATTCTTGCCTTCCGTGCCGGAGACCCGGGTTTGATTCCCAGCCAGTGCACCTTATTCGCAGCCATCACCTGTCTGTCCATGGAGGCTTGTGTGTTGCTATGATGCAAACAGATTTCAGTGGAGCTTCCAGATTAAGAAAGACTAGGAAGAAAGGCCTGGAGATCTATTTCTGAAAATCAGCCGATGAAAACCCTATGGATCACAATGGTCCGATCCACAACTGATCATGGGATGGTGCAGGACCTGGCAGCATTTCGTTCTGTTGAGCATTGGGTCGCCATGTGTCAGGGGCCTGACCGGTTGGCAGCTAACAACAACAATATCTCATAAGTATAATGTCCAAAGGATTATGTGAGGATTGACTGGGCTAGCACATGTGTAACGTTTAAAGCAGTGCTTGGCACACAGTGATGCTCAGTAACTTTTGGTTCCTATGGGTAGTGAGCACCTACCATGTACAGACACTGCTTGCCCCAGTGGGCATGGAGTGGAGAGGTACTCTTATCCCTGAGAGCCTGAAGGGGAGTGTGAACTGGGAAATCAGTGATGTCACTGCAGTGTCGTATGTACATGTTGGGGGTACCAAAAAGGGGTCTACCACTCGCCAGACAGGACCAGGAAATATTCCCAAGAGGGTGAATCTAGGTGAGTTGAGAGGGGGAGAGGTGGTAAGGTATGGGCAAAACCAGAAAGGAAGTTCCAGGCAGAGAGGCAAGGGTGAGGACAAGGAGAGTGTCGGGGTGCAGAGCAGGGGGTCAGCTAGTCTGAGAGAGATTGGGGGGGCCCTCCTGATGGGCCTTTTCTAAACTCCATGCAATGGAGTTTGGATTTGATCCTGAGCGCAGTGGGAGGGGAGTGCCTGCAGCTGGCGTGTCTTCTGAGAACCTCTGGGGGCGGTGGAAGAAGGGCATACTGGAGTAGCAAGGCAGGAGGTGGTGGTAGAGGTAGAGTTGACAGGCGTGAGCAGTACTGAGGGGGTGAATCCCTTGAACTGGACTGGGAGAGAAAGGGCAGAGTCAATGACCTCCAGGACCAGCTGACATTGGAGCCCGAGGATGCGTGAAACAGCCTTGGACAAAAGGATCATTACCTTAACACAGTGGTTTTGTCCTCCAGGGGATCTTTGGCAATATCTGGAGAGGGATGGAGGTTGCTACTGCCATCTAGTGGGGAGAGGCCAAGGATGCTGCTAAACTTCTTACAATGCACAGGACAGTCCCCACAGCAAAGAATTATCGGGGCTGCATTGTCACTGGTAGCTAGCTTGAGAAATCTTGCCTTAAATGAACTAATTTTTAAATGGTAGGCTTAGTGGGCAAGACGTTTTATCAAAATAATAAAAATTCAAGGTCTGTTTATCATGATTTCCACATTGTATCTGAGGTTCACCCTGCAACTTCATCTTTAACATATTCTACTGTGAGAGTTAGTTTACTTAACAATAAAAAATAATTCTAAATTTCCTGAAACATTTAATTATAGCATCTTGTAAGAATATAGCAAATTCCTGTTTTTATTAATATAAGGTCCAAGCAATTATGTATTTAATCCATATAGTAGGTTGTATTTTGACATTGTAAGCATAAGGTAATTATTGAGCTTACTCTCACTTACACAAATATTCCTTCCTTAACGTTTACTTTGAGTCTGTGTTTTGCTTCATTTATTATAGGTACCAAAAGAAAAACTATACAAGTCTGCATAAGATAAAATGTAACATTCCATTTTGTCTGATAAGTGCTTAATATTTATAATATTATTTATCACAAAACAGCTGTTAGCGATTAAAGAATTTTAGAATAGGAAGAAAAGGTAATATGAAATATACTCATGCTTCCCTTTTTTCCACAGGAAATATTAGTTTTGAAGAGGATGAAACTAGATAATCAGAATTACCTGAGTAAGACGCACGGAACAAAAGGAACAGGCGATTGTATTACAAAAATTCTTCTGTTGAGTATTTAATACTATCAGCTATTAATCTTTCTTAGTTTTTTTTTTTTTTTTGGTCCTAAATTGGTTTACAATTGTAAATAAATATCTTCATTAGCCTCTGTTTATGAAAAGGTCTCTGCTTCAAGTTCTTTAAACCAAATGTTACCGGTCATTTTACCATGTTTTTTTAGTGGTGCTTTCCTCCAGGATAAAGAAAAATGTCATAGAACTGTCACTCTACAGAAGATGGGTAATGGAAGGCGATTTTTGGCTGAGCTAGTGGGGTGATTATATACTAAAGATCCCTCTCTCAAATATCTCTCAAGAGAATTAGGAAATCACCTACAATGTTAGAATTATTATGTGCAATTCTCATAAAACGCAATATGATAAATATACTTCGGGCTCAGACAGGACGCTAACAGCCGCCAGTGAAGCGGGGTGCTCCGGCCCATGTCCACATGGACGCGCCTTCTGCCTGGCTATCCATCTGGATGAGAAGCTCCCTGATGGGGGGTGGGAGGGACCTGCAGATGGGCAAGGGGCAGGGCTGCCCACGGGTGGTTTTGGCCTGTTGCCCACACTGTCTGGGTTTCTTAGGGGGCTGGCTGGAGGTTAGCACCTAAACCTCATTCACATTTCTTGAGTATTGGCTCAAAGGTGGCCCTCCTCACCACAGTTCGGCCCCCAGTGTTTTAATAGAGTAAAGCTATAACTCTCTAGGGGAGCCCTGCTTCCCATCTTGCCTGGCTCCCGTTCATCTCCCCTCCTCTGTCCCCAGAATTACTCAAAGGGTAAGTGTCTCAGGTTCCTAGAGCTGCCATAACAGAAATACCACAAGTGAGTGGCTTTAAAGAGCAGAAATTGATTTTCTCACAGTTCAGGAGGATACGTGTCCAAATCAGGGCGTGGCTCTAGGGGGAAGTCCTTTGTCTATTTCAGCTTCTAGTAGCCAACAATCCTTGGAATTCCTAAGCTTGTAGATTCATCTGTCTCTGTTGTCAGATAGTGTCTGTCGTCCCCCTGTCTGTGTGTCTGTGTGTCCGTGTCTCTGCTATTCTCTGTATAACTCAGAAGTTATTAAGTGTAGGATCCACCTTACACCAGTATAACTTCAACTGACTGATTGATTATATTACGTTAGAGTACCTCATGGAAAGTGATTACATTACATTACATTTAGATTACATCCGCAGGTAAAGGGGCTAGGATTCCAACATATATTTTTTGGGGGACACAATTCAATCTATAATAGCAAATGTCTTCAATCCACCCCAAAATGTCCCATGCAGTTGGTTTCCCAATCCAAGCTCATGCATTGCCATCTGGCTGTTATGTCCCTAAGTGTAGAACCTCTTGAAGAATAATCCACTCTATGACTACAATCTCCATACCTCTTTAAGAGAAAATATACAGCATTATGAATATAAAATTAGGCACAAGCATTTATTCAGAAGAAGAAAAACAATTTTGAAATAATTGCAAACTAAAAAGTTGACAAATCCACAAACAGCATAAAATCTAGAAAACCAGCATAATATTGTTATTAACCACCCAGCCCAACTCTCTAATACTTATTTTCCTACATTTTTTTCTTCTGCCAGCATATTCTTTGATTCCTCTTCATATGACAACAATTTTGTAATATTTTATGTATGGAGAGTAGCAAGATCATTTCAGCTGTTCCTTTAGCGTGGTTTATTACATTTTTATTACATTTTTTAAAAAAATGCTGTTTTGTTGTTGTTGAGACTATTCGCAGCAAAACATACACCAATCCAACAGTTTCTACATGTACAGTTCAGTGACATTGACTACATTGTTCGAGTTGTGCAACCATTCTCACCCTCCTTTTCTGAGTTGTTCCTCCCCCATTAACATAAACTCACTGCCCCCTAATGCTCAATAGTTGCGAGGCATAAAACCTTGTTTACACAAGATACACTTGATGTTCACAAAACTGCTACAGGACTGTGTGCTACAAAAAGGTGTTCGGATAAATTCTATTTCATGTGATTCCCAGAGAAAATTGTATATGCCGCATCATTATATTCCTGACGAGAGAGAACATCTACTTAGATTAGGTATCACTGAGTAATCTTTCTTGCAATTTTACACTCTGCTGATTGAAATAATTTTCCAAAGACTAGCTTCTGACTCTTCAAATCTTGTTTCTGTTCCACTCCCACACACTTATGGTGCTGGATGCTGCAGGGCAAGTTCATACTGAGATTTGACTTTAAGCCTGCACCTGTATGTTGCAAGGCTGGATAAGTTAGAAAGACGGGTGGTAGGAGTACTTTTGGAAGCTATGCCTACTCCAGAACAGCTAGCAATAACAGAAATATACACAGACATTATATGCAAACCACATAAATATAGTCTACCAAACCCTAACTACTAAATCTAGCCTTAATTCAGCTTACTCAGTGTTCCCCTAGACAGATTTTAAAAATGCCAGTAACCACTCTAATGCCAATCAACATAAGGGGACATATGTCTGAATGAAAGTCAGAAGGGAAAGAGACAGATCATTTATGTGATTGTGGTTAAAATGCCTTACTTCTTCAAAATATACCAGAACACCTGAGTGTGCAAACACATTGCCAAGACCTTGGAAGGGACCTGTGCCTATGTGAGGCTCTGAAGCTTAAGGTTGGTTAGCTTTGTGGTAAATCCCCTCTGCCCTTCATACTTTTTATTTATTACAGTGTCTTTTACATGTCGCTGATTTTGAAGAGACAGAACAGACTGTCCATTCTGTTGTTCAGCTCATCCAGTGCATTTTTTATATAAAATATTGTACTTTTTAGTTCTAGAGTTTTCATTTGTTTTTTTTTTTTATAGTTTTTGTTTTCTGCTCATATTTCTTTTCTTTTTATTGACTGCAAGTGTATTTTCCTTTAACTCTTTGAGCATATTAAAATAGTTACTTTAAAAACCTTTTCCTGTTAATTACAATATGTAGGTCAACTTGGGGTTTCTTTTCATAGGTTGTCTGTTATCTTGAGGATGGATCACATTTTCCTGGTTATTCCTACATCAAGTAACTTTGTATTATATACTGGACATTGTGAATGTTTTATGGTAGATTCTGAAGGGTGCTGACTTTTTTCTTCTTCTTTTTTTTTTAAAATAAGTGTTATGGATTAAATTGTGTCCCCCCAAAGGATGTGTTGCAAATCCTAACTTCTATGCCTGTGCTTGTAATTCCATTTATCAACAGATTGTCTTTGTTATGTTAATGAGGCTGGGTTAGTGTAGAGTGTGTCTTAAATCAATCTCTTTTGAGATATAAAAGAGATTAAACAAGCAAGCTAAAGAAGCAGAGATAGGGCAAGAGAGATGCCAAGCCATATGAAGATCATCCAGGAGCAGAAGCTCAGAAGAGACAAGGACCTTCCTCCCAGAGACAAAAAGCAAGAGAAAAACTTCCCTTAGAGCCGGTGCCCTGAATTCAAACATCTAGCCTCCTAAACAGTGAGAAAATAAATTTTTGTTTGTTAAGCCATCTAATTGTGGTATTTCTGTTACAGCAGCACTAGATAACTAAGACAGTAAGACATTAACTTGGACTCATTTCAAACTTTATCTCTTACTTGGCAGCTCAAATATCAGTTCAGTTTTTCTTCTTTTTTTCAATCTTTAGCTGGATTCTGTCCCATGTATACATGGTTCAGGGGTGTCATGGATTGAATTATGTCCCTCAGAAATATGTGTCAAATTGGCTAGGCCATGATTCCCAATATTGTGTTATTATCCACCATTTTGTCATCTGATGTGATTTTCCTACGTATTGTAAATCCTATCTCTATGATGTTAATGAGGCAGGATTAAAGGCAGTTATGTTAATGAGACAGGACTCAATCTACAAGATTAGGTTGTGTCTTTAGTCAATCTCTTTTGAGATATAAAAGAGAGAAGTGAGTAAGAAGATGTAGGGACCTCATATTGTGAAGAAAGCAGTGCCAGGAATAGAGTGTGTCCTTTGAACCCGGTGTCCCTGTGCTGCGATTGATGACAAGGGCCTCCTCCAGAGCTGACAGAGAGAAAGCCCTCCCCTGGAGCTGATGCCCTGAATTTGGACTTCTATCTTACTAGACTGTGAGAGAATAAACTTCTGTTTGTTGAAGCCATCCAATTGTGGTATTTCTGTTATAGCAGCACTAGATAACTAAGACAAGGGATCAGTCAGAGATCTGGGCAGAGCTTATGCACAGAATTTGGGGCTTCTAGTTTCTGTCTTTTTCTGGTCCCAGGTTCTCAATTTGTTACTGCAATAATGCGGAATCGGAGCCGCCTGCCGCAATAGCCAATTCTGAGACAGGGGTGAGGTGAGCAGCAAGATGTTTATTATATATCGATATATAGGAGACAGAGGAGGAATAGATTCCTCCAAAAAACCGGTGTCCCGGACTGGAGAACGGCTGGAGTCTTTTATAGTGACAGGATTATGGATCTTTTATGGTAGTTTTTTTTTGAGGTGGTGATGTCTTAGATGAGTTAACCTTTCGCTGGTATTCTTAGAGGTTATGTGGTGACATCTTTGGGGATTATCTGGTGACATCCTGCTTACTCTTGTCACAAGATGGATGCTTTGTTTGGTTTTTCATTCTTAGATCATTATCACTTGTTTTCCACCCTCCAGGGAGGAACATAGGTTAATCTTAAACCTTTTTGTAGAGACTGGAGAAACAAGATCATGAGACAACGTGGCGCTGAGCAATGGGGGAGTAAACAATAGTGAGCCAGGCCTATGCAGCCTCTTCCACATTCACTTTTTAGCAGCTGTGATTGCCCTGAACTCAGTCTTCTGGCTCCTCAGACCAGAAAGGTTGACATTTTCAATGTGTGTTTTAGTCACCTTTAATGGGTGCAACTCGTACCAAGGTCTCCCATCAGGCTGAAGCTATGATAATGGAAACTCCCCCCTTGCCATCACTTCTTCCAA